TTGGATGGCGTCGTCAAGGTCAGGTCAAGGTCACATTGACTTTTTTAAATGACACCCCCTACATTTGATTGCATATTCTTATAGCTTAATTCAAGAGCTTTCCAAAACACTATAATAATGTTCATTTTTATTAAGTACTTTGCGAGTTATGAGGGTTGAATGATAGAGTAGCGCCGGTATTAACATTATCCAAGGTGTACTACATGGAGGTTACTCGCTCGGATTTGCATCTGTTGTGTGTGTGATCCAGCTAACTAAGGCAAGATCGATTCCTCAACATATCCTCATATTTCGCTGAAGTCAAATTGCCAAAAAAATTGCTCCATAAAACGTGTATGAAACGTCTCGTTAGTTCCTTCATTTACCGCTATGTGACGCACTACATGCAGTCTAACTCGCATTTAAAATTCAACTAAGAATGTATAAAGCTATCAAAGAACGAGCACCTTCTAACTTCAGCTTTGAGCAAGCAGAAATTAATTGTTATCGTCCAAATACAACGTACGATTAATTAAAATTAAACGTTTTAAAAATGGCTGGCGACTTGTCGGAACGTGAAAGAATCACTATCCTCATGATGCGTGGATGGGGTGATAACGAAAGATCGTTCTCTGATGTCGTTCGATTATTTAATGACACGTATCCGAACCGTCGAATTAATAAGTCCACTGTGTTAAAAACAATAGAACGTTTTAGACAAACTGGTAGCGTAAGAAATCGCTCTAAGTCAGGAAGACCATTGTCTGCAACCAACGAAGAAAAACAACTTGATGTTCTGCAGACATTTATTGAAGATCCCAATTCTAGTGTTCAGAGAGTCGCTCAAACTCACGATATTGCTCCCATGTCGGTTTGGAGAATTTTAAAGAAGAACAAGTTCCATCCATATAAATTGCAATACGTTCAAGAATTGCAAAACGGAGATGAGGAGCGTCGTATACATTTCTGTGAAAGAATGATGGCACTAATAGATGTCCGGCCCATCTTCCCTTATCAAATTGTTTTCACAGACGAGGCAACTTTTACCTTAACGGGAGAAGTTAATAATCAAAATTTTCGTTTCTGGTCAGATGAGAATCCGAATTGGGTGCGGGAAACTCACACACAACATCCACAAAAAATAAATGTATGGTGCGGAATAATAGATGGCTATTTAATAGGGCCGTTTTTTTTTGAAGAATATTTGAACGCTCAAAGGTATGAGAGATTACTTGTTGATCAAATAATTCCAGCCATACAGAATACTTTTCCAAATAATTTCCAAGAAATATGGTTTCAGCATGATGGAGCTCCTGCTCATTTTGGTGCAGGACCACGTCGTATTTTAAATGAGACTTTTCCGCTACGGTGGATAGGAAGAAGGAACGGAAATGAGGGAGGAAAGGATTGGCCACCTCGGTCACCAGATCTAACTCCTCTTGATTATTATCTATGGGGATATCTGAAGAGTAAGGTTTACAGAACAAAACCTAAAACCATTCACGAATTGATACAGCGAATAAGGGATGAAATGGCTTTGATACCTTTTGAAACGAATCGTAAAGTCATTTCTACATTCTACCAAAGATTAGCATATTGTCAGGAAGTAAATGGCAGCCACTTTCAGCATTTACTTTAACACATTGAAACACATTTGCAATCGTTTGGTGCAACCTAACCTGATCTCTGTATACACGCACCGCACGCACGCACACGCACACATTTCGAACAATTATTATGATAAATGAGCATCCACAAATTTATTTACTGTTTACTATGTCGATTGCTTTCCAGGTCTTTAAATGCTCGATTGTAATTTGGTTGGGTCTTTGCTTTTGCTGACTGGATCCACGACCGATCTTGCCTTAGTTAGCTGGATCACACACACAACAGATGCAAATCCGAGCGAGTAACCTCCATGTAGTACACCTTGGATAATGTTAATACCGGCGCTACTCTATCATTCAACCCTCATAACTCGCAAAGTACTTAATAAAAATGAACATTATTATAGTGTTTTGGAAAGCTCTTGAATTAAGCTATAAGAATATGCAATCAAATGTAGGGGGTGTCATTTAAAAAAGTCAATGTGACCTTGACCTGACCTTGACGACGCCATCCAAGGTCAAACTGATAGAATCAGTATATAGATCTTCTTAAACCCTACAACTTTTGTTGGAAACACTTTTCTGTAAAACGTATATTTTCCGAGATATTTAGGGGTTTCCACACTTTTGGTAGACCCTGTATAATTGATTAAAATTTATTTTGTATATCAAAAAAATTGTGATTTATTCCACCCTCAAAAACCGAACGAACTTATTTGCCAATCATATATATATATATATATATATATATATATATATATATATATATATATACTTAAAAATAAAGAGGGTTAACAGTCCGTATAGTAATAATACAAATTAGAAAAGGAAGGCTTTTGGACTGTGACATAGGATGTTCGTACGAAAAAATAATTAACAGTTGAAACGCAAAACAGAGCTACTAAATTAAAAAATGATTTAATAAGCCAAACTCTGTCGGCACGAAAAGACTATAAAAATACAATTTTAAAGACAGACGCACGTTTTGATCTTCTACAGATCCTTATCAATGTCATATAAATAATAAAGATATACACTCTAAATTAAGACAAAGGAGGTCATAAGGACCATACAACGGATACAAAAAATTGAACGCATGAATTAACGGTCGGTATAATGCTTGTTGGAAAACGCAATTTCTGAGAAAATGTCAAACAAAAAAAATTAAAAAAAATTAATAAAAAAAATGATAAGAGACATGAAATGCTATAACAGAGCACAGCTCACCTCAATATCACAAATACGCTATAAACAAAAAGGCGTCTGAGATTCTAAGCTCCCTCGATGAATCCATCAAAATAATAAAAATTAACAAATTGAAGATGTCCATAGGAAAATCGTGATGATATATACATAATATAATAAAATCGAACAAAATTTCAATTATTAATTCGTAAATTAAATAGCTAAATAAATTATGCTCAATTATCGGAAGTTCTATTTTCGTTTAAAATGTAGATAAGTTATACATATATTTATTAATAAATAATAATTAAACTTTAGTAATCGGTTTTTTTAATTTTATCTTAAGGTATTTCTCAAGAAAAAAAATCATGATATTTCGTTTTCGACATTATAATTTATTATTAATATGTAATGGAAAAGAAGTCAAGACGGATACTCGGGACGGACACGGAAACACGGAACCTAGAACTAGTATATGTACCGTCGACGAGGCTAAATATTAGGACGGCTCAGAGATGCCGGAGACACTCCGTGAATTTTTTACATTTACGATATATTCAACGTATAGTAATGACATTTTGAATAATTTTCGAATTGAGAGTGGAATAGGCCTATGGGGGAAATCACTATAAAAAAAGCACACCATGCTATCTACCGCAAGGTGGTGTGGAAATGATAGCGCATCATTTTCTCGCCACTAAATGGACGGGTCATTTTTCGGCGCAGTATTGCGATATATCGCAAACCACCATCATATCTCGGAGAGCGACCCGCCCACTGCTTTGCCGCGCTCGTAGTATCAGATTACGGTGACGACTCTCATCGCCGCGTGCTTCTACTCACGCAGATTGGCCGATCTTCTTTATTTAATATTTCGTTAATTATTGCGACAATCCCAAAACAATACAAGTCATTCCTTCTTAATTTGAGCCAATTTACTTCTTTATTTCGTTAAGGTCGAAAATTGACGGACACCCTGTATATATATATGTATAAAATTATGTAATATTAATAAATATATTATTTCATATTTAAAAAATTTTTATTTTAAAATAATTCTTTTTCAACTTTCAATTGCGGAATATTTGTATTTATTTACATAATTATATACATTATTTATATTATAATTATTACAAACATACGTATCCCAGGTAGCAAGCACACATCATTTTGACGTTTCAAATTGGTCATTCTTGATGTCACGAATTGACGTTTTGATGATGTAAAAGTGATGGTCTAATGTCACAGATTTTGACGTCATAAAATGTACCATCTTTTGACGTCTTTTTCTTAACATAATAATATAGATAGATAGATAGATAGAAGAAGTTTATTGTTTCCTTTTCCGGCATACAATGGCGCTTTTCAAGGGAGCGTTCCCGAACCCTGTACAAAAACCTGCTCCCCCTATCCCCTCCGACCTGACCATTGGGCAGCCATTACATGCTAACACCCCTCCCTCCCTTCGGCCACCCCTCACCATTTCACTCTGCCTCACCCCCTGTTGACACCTCTCCTCCTCTAATCCTCCACTTTTCTCCTTGCCATTTCGCCTCATATCCTCTCCTTCCCTTCCTCCGCCTTGCCCCGCCACGACCTCCTTCTTCCTCCTCTCTACCGTACGGGGCTCTCTCCCTTCTCCTTTGCTCCTCTCCCTCTCCCCTAATCCTCACTCGCCTTCTCCTCCTTTGTCTCTCCTTCAACATTACCTCCAACTTCTTATCTGAAACAATCCAACTACAAACCCCGACCTTTCCTTCCTCCTCTCTACATATTCCCACACTCATTCTTCCCTCCCCCTGTCCCCCTGTATCAGACCTTACCCTCTCTCCCCATCTTCCTTTCTCCTTTCACCTCAATCTCTCTCCATCTCTGCGTCTTCCCCTTTCTACTCCCCCTTTTCCATTTCTCCCTGATCCTCCCCCTTTCATTTCCTATCCTCCAATTCCCCCTACTCCTCCTTCTCACTCATACCTCTCCTCCTCGTTTTCCTCCTCCGAACCCTCTGACCCCTCCGTCCACCTGTCCTCCTCTGCGTCCCACCTCCAAACCTCCCCGTTCACCCACATTTTCCTGTTCCCTACCTCTACCTCGTTCCCCCTTGCCTTCTCTATCCTCGCCTTTTCCACTAGCCTCCACCTAACTTTCCTCTCCTCCATTGTCAGATCTTCGTCTACCCTTATCCCCCAGTCCCTGTTTATCTTCCCACCTCTCTCTAAAATCCCTTCCCTATCCCTCTTCTTTGCCATCCTTACTATTAACACCGTGCCCGCCGTCCCTTTCCTTTCTACTACCTCTCCTACCTCCATCTTCCTTCTTAGTTCCACCTCCATTATTCTCTCCATTATCCTCCTCCTCTCTTCCGCACTATCTCCATCTATCCCTCTCCACACTAAATTCATTCTCTTCTCTCTCCTCCTTCTCCTCTCCTCCTCTCTTTCCTTCTTCTTCCTCTCTGCCTCTCTCCTTTCCCTGCTCCTCCTCCTCCTGTCTCTCCTTTCTTCAAATCTTCTCCATGTTTCTTCCATTTTTACCCTGTCCTCCTCTTCCTTCCTCTCTTCTCTCTTCTTCTCTCTCTCCTTCTTCCAATCCTCACTCATCTCCTTCTTTTTCTCCTCTTCCTCGGCCACCAGCTCCCACCATTCTTTCCTACAACTTTCCTCTTCTGAATTCTCTCCTTCCCACTTCCCCGTCGACTTTCCTAACTGCCACCTCACCCTCCTCTCTTCCGTACTCTCAATCTTCCCTCCCCTCTTGTCATTCCTCCCTCTCCCGTCCTCTTCTGTCTGTACTCTTTCCTCCACTTCCGCTTTCTTTCCTTCCTTCCGTTCCAGCCTCCTCCTTTCCTGTTTCCTATCTACCTCCACCTCTTCCTTCCTGTCCGACCTATGCCTCCTTTTCTCTTCCTCTCTGTCCTCCCTGTCATCCTTCGCTCCTCTCTCTTCTTTCCGCATTCCCGTCTTTTCCTCCTTCTGAAATATCTGCGTCTCCTTCCTCACCACCTTATTCCTCTTGTCTCCCTCCCGCTCCACCTTCCTCTCCATTCCTCTCCTCCTCTCCTCCATCTTCTCACCGCACTCCCTCCTTCCTAACCCCCTCATTCTTCTCTTTCTGCCCACCCTTCTCCATCCTCTCTAACCCACTCACCATTATCTTCATTAACCCCACCATCTCCTCCATCACCCTCCTTATCTCCCTCAGCTCCTCCACCACACCATCACACCTTCCAGCCATTTTCACCCTAGCATAATAATATATTTAATAGTGTTGTCGGATAAAGCACTCTCTAAAAGTGAATCAGTGTATTATCACTGAAAAACAATAAATAGTCACTGATTACAGTAGTTATAAGTACAGCAAATCACTTGTAAATCAGTGATATTTTATTGAAAAAATCAGTTAATAATTTTGACTATTTCAATCAGTAATATGTCAGTAATATTTCTCAATATTAGTAATATTTCTTTCGTTATTGCCAGTAATATTAAACTACAATTCATTCTATCTATTTCGTAAATATAATATAAATATAATAAATATAAAAATTGTTATAGTCCGAGAGACTATAACTTATTATTTTATTGATAATATTAATTATGTCTTTAAAGAACGTTCGCGAACCGCGCAAAACCGCTAACTCAGCAAACCACGCGCAAGAACGTTCGCCAAAAATGCGAAAACGCTAACGAAGGGATTCAACTTTGAACCTCCTTCGCTTGCACTTGGACTTTGGACGCCACGAAAAACCTCCATGACCATACATAGTCATGTCACTAGGCAATCCCCTCTAAAACACCCCCAAAATCGAAGGAATAAAAGCCGTCCACCGCGAATCCGTGGCGGACAGTCGTTAATAATAAATCAATCATTAAATAGTGCGAAACCGAGCTAACTGCTATACTGTGCGACGATTCACTCAAAGAAATTGTTAAACGCTCTAAATCTAAAAACGAAGCGACACAGGAAAGAACGACAATAAGGAAAGAAGGCTTGTTAAGAAACCGACTAAAAATAAGATACGAGAATCTATTTGTATAAGAGAAATTTTATAATAAAAAACCTTTGTGGACTAATCCAAGGATTCGATTCGATTCTCCCGGCTACCCCACACCCCGTGCCGCGCCGGGCACAACATCTTGGTGGCAGTGATGGGATAGCCGAGATCGAGAACCATCCTGGATCCTTAACGCCTGCAACAAAAAGAAAATACAAAATTAATAAACTGGAGGGAGCAACTGCTATATTAAAGCAGATAGATTCATACACATTAGCACGCAACACATACGGACGACAGTGATAAAGAAATCACGGTCAAGCAGCTGAAAGCCAAAAGGAAACACGAGCGCTCAAAGACCAACGTCGATCCACGACCTTCGCCAAGACAATGCAACGCAGACGGACAACGCATCACCGACGGACAACGTTTCGCCGACGGACAACGCACCAACGCGGGACAACGATCCACCAGCAGCATCAGCAGTCGAGCGACCCGATAAGTTACAACCATGCGAATCACCGTACTACTACTGTAAGTCGAACTTTATTTAAAGATCAGCACCGTTAAAACAAGTAAAATTTAAAAGTCCGCGATTTCTGAGCGTGCCAGCGCGATTGGCAAATAGATTCGTACTTGTAACTCCGATACGAGTAGCAGAAGAAGTTGCTCGCGATATTCGTAGAAGCGTGCGAAAAAATTTAGAAGAACATTATTCGAGTTCTGATTCATCCGAGGGACACGAACCGAGTAATAACGATAATTCTATACAAAACGGACCAAGTCGCGTTACAATAATAAGAAATTATTCGCCGATATCTGTCGATATTAGTTTATTCGATCCACGTGCGCAAACGAATATGGATAACGAAGCCGTCGATAGAGAAATCGAGTGCATGCGAGCGCAGCAGACCGAACTAAACGTAGCCGCAGCCTATGAAGATGCAGGTCAGCCGTCCGAAGGAACGAGTAACGTATTACTCGCCGAACTCGTACACAGTTTCCGCAAAATGCAAGTACATGCGCGAACAAATGCGAAATATACAAACCGCACAAACAAATTGAAACGGAACGCGAGTAAATGCAAACACTGTCCCAGACTCGACGTAACGTACGGACGCACTCAACACGATATCCGAAACCGACGCAGCGCAGCCCCGCACTATGTACCATTAAAAGAAGCGCGAACAATGATTCCCGAATTTGACGGAACGACGCGACAGGAATTCTTAAACGCCTGTACGTACGCGGTACAAAATATTAATCCTGCGGACGAAGAATAATTAATTCAAGCAATTTGATATACTAAATTAAAAGGTAAAGCCATGCAAGATTTCGAAACGTGAGACATCCAAACATTTAAAGAATTAAAAACACAACTCGAAACTTGCTATCAAACGAAGCAAAGCACTACGCATTTACAAATCGAATTTAATTCAGTGAAACAAAAATCGAACGAAGCCGCACACGCGTTCGGACAACGAGTAGACATTTTAGCAATAAAATTGTACGAATCAATGGTGGAAGGAGAGGAACGACCCCCTTCATTTAAACAAGCAATACAAGAAACAATTAAAAAACAAGCGTTAATAAATTTCCAAATTGGACTACGCGACGAATTAAAAATCCTCGTACGATCGCAGCGATATTCCACGCTCCAAGAAGCGATAAGTGGAGCGAGCACAGAAGAGAAGCTTATCGTACCCTCTGCAACACGAGCGCCCGGCTTCTTTAATAAAAATAAATCCGATGTTAAATACACACGGACAAATAAAAACGCTAATATACAATATTATAAATGCGGAAAAAATGGTCATTACGAACGCGATTGCCAAAGTAATAAATTCACGTTGCCTAAACCTGAAAAATCAACGCGTATAAATACCGTGAATAAATTCTGTAAACATTGCAAAAAATCCGGATACAGCCGCGAAGAATGCTGGAATCTAAACGGACGACCGAACACAAATAGTAAAAATTTTAAATAACTAAATAAAACTAATTATAAAGATAACACACGCGAGAAAAAGGGCGTGAATAGATTACGCAAGAAAAGCACGGACTCTGCAAGCAATAGTGAAGAAGAGGAGCAGGAGGAAGCGAGAGAGAAGCAACCATGACCTGCCTTAGAGTATCGCATATCGCATGTCAAGGATGTACGTGCGTCGAAGGAAGAATTACTACAAATTACATTGCCTATACAGGAAGCAAAAAATAACGAAATAAACATGCTATACGACTCCGGTTCGACAATTTCGCTATTAAAATTAAGAAATCTAAAATATAACGCACCAATTTATGAAAAGAAGATCGCGTTAATAGGAATAAGCGGTCATAAAGTATATACAATACAATAAGAAAGATGTACGCCACAATTAACATTAATAAACATAAAATTAAGCATACCTTTTATATAATAAAGGACGACACAACTATAGAACATGAAGGAATTCTAGGATTGGATTTCCTTAAGAAGCAAAAGGTGAAGTGCGATTATGAAATGAACGAAATTAAAATAAAAGACGCAATAATAAAACTACACCCTTGCAAAAAGATCACTTTAAAACTACGCAGCGAGACAATAGTACGAGCCGCAATCGAAATCAAATAGGAATAGTTCGAACGGAAGAAACCGTACCCGGAGTGTACATTGGAAGTTGTCTAGTGGAGCCCGAAAATTTTTCGTGCCCCGTCAGCATAATAAATGCCACTGACAAAATTGTGGAGATGACAACTCCTATAGTTCCCTTAGAAGATTTAGAAAACAACGCAATAAAAACGAGATAAATTTAATAAAATCGGGAAAAAAAATTCAATCGAATATTTCACGCAGTCAACGAATTTGACAATCACTGCGCACTCAACATTTAAATAAAGAAGAGAGGCAGACTCTTCAACAAATCTGCGAAGAATACAGTGATATATTCCATCTGGAAGGAGAACCACTGACATGCACCGCGACGGTCGAGCATGAGATAAGCACGCGTGCCGACACCACGCCGGTGAATGTGAAACCGTACCGATTACCCGAGAAGTATAAGGCGGACTAACAAAGGGATTCAACTTTGAATCTTCTTCGCTTGCACTTGGACTTTGGACGCCACGAAAAACTTCCACGACCATGCATGGTCATGTCGCTAGGCGATCCCCTCCAAAACACTCCCAAAATTGAAGGAATAAAAGCCATCCACCGCGAATCCGCGGCGGACAGTCATTAATAATAAATCAATCATTAAATAGTGCGAAACCGAGGGCTAACTGCTATACTGTGCGACGAATCACTCAAAGAAATTGTTAAACGCTCTAAATCTAAAAACGAAGCGACACAAGAAAGGACGACAATAAGGAAAGAAGGCTTTTGTAAAGAAACCGACTAAAAATAAGATACGAGAATCTATTTGTATAAGAGAAATTTTATAATAAAAAACCGTTGTGGACTAATCCAAGGGTTCGATTCGATTCTTCCGGCTATCCCACACCCCGTGCCGCGCCGGGCACAACAAAATAAATAAATATATAAATAAATATAAAATAAAATATAAAAATATATATAAAATTTAAAAATATAAAAATATAATATAAAATAAATAAATATATATAAATATAAATAAATATATATAAAATTAAAAATTTTATTTATATTTACTAAATATTTATTATATTAAAAATTTTATTTTATTTATATTACATGTATATTGAACTTGTTATTTTAAATAAATAATGAATGAATAATTTTCATTAAGTAGTCAGACATTTATTTGTTCGACTTATAAAATCGATTTAATATCTGAAGTCTCTCCATTGAGATTGTATAAGAAATTAAATGGAAGTAATATTTCTAATTTTATCTGTCATTCCTTGCAAACTTTATATAATGCTCATAACTACCCGGTAAAAAATTTTTCATATATAATTAGACAAAATTGATTATATCTAGTTATACAAACTTATATATCTGTGAAATTTTGTCCATATAAAAATAGATATGCTTATGTATAAATGGATATGAATATATATATATATATATATATATATATATATATATTTGTATATTATTATATAAAGATATAT